ACTTCTACGAGTTGAATATATGAGTTTATTTCCGCATGTTATCTCTGAAATGGAACTAAGTAAATGAAATTGGTAATACTTCGAGTAATAAAGAGAGTGGATATTTTAAAGAGATATATGTTTTAAAAAGATATATCTGTGTATGTTTGGAAAATGGAAGAGAGTAGTGGGCTTAGTGAATTTATTTCCTAAGGTATTGTTAATGTTATGAAAGATTGGGAACGGGGATTAATGAAAAGAAAAGAAAATTGAATCGCCTATGGCGTTGATTGAAATTGTTGTTTTCAAGAAAAGTTCATACTTATGATATTTTGTATAAATTGTCACATTACGATTCTAGTATGAGATTGGGTGTTCATGATCATAGCTATCTATATGTTGTTATTGTTGAGGGCCATGTTGAGATCCCTACTGGACTATATGTTCATCCCACGTTGTTGAATCTTTTGCAGGTGTTGAGTTGAACGTGTTACAAGATTTGGATCTTCTTATTTGTTGGCCACGGGGCCTCCCTTGTATTGGTGGAATGCCATATGTGTAAAAGGGTTGCACCCTTCTTCTTGATTCATTAATGATGTAAGCCCGAGGGCAATTTATTTGTTATACTCATGATGTATTTATTTGCATACGAATGAGAGCAATGTTATTCACTTCTACGAGTTGAATATATGAGTTTATTTCCGCATGTTATCTCTGAAATAGAACTAAGTAAATGAAATTGGTAATACTTCGAGTAATAAAAAGTGGGGTGTGACAACGTTTCTAGACCGAACGAATGGGGAGCCCAGGTAATTTTGAGCTCGGTTGGAGGCTTGTACATCTAGCTCGGTTTTGAAACTGTAATCCCAATCGTGATACGCAGATGGAATTAGGGGGGCAATTGAGAGGGTAATTTGTGAACAAATTGGGCCGAGCTAGAATGAGCCTTCTTTGGACAATGGGCCGCAATAAGCCAAAATGATGTTTTGTATTTCGGCTATGGGCTGAGGTAGTTACCAGGATGGTTGGATGGGTTTCTTGGAATTGGAGCCTGTCTGGGGACAAAGCCTTGTCTGACTGGGGTGATTAGCATGGTGATGGACCGAGCTGGGTACTACACGGCGAGATGCTAGGCTAAACAGGGTTACCGCGGCTTAACCGTGTTGGGCACGGAGCCATGGTAACTTGGTTGGCCGCAGTATGAACCCAGTTAAAGGGTTCATCCATCTCACTTGGTGGGTGGTGAGTGAGGTGTTACCATGATAAGTGTTATCCATGGGGAATGTGGTTCCTAGGAGGGCTCTGGTGAGTAAAAGTCCTATTAGAATTGTGCCACGTGGAATCTATAAAAGCTCTTGGCAAGACTTATGTAGAGGTATCATAATTTCTACTCTCAAATACAGAGAGCTTTTATGTCTATTGTCTATTTACTGACTTAGATATCAGAGGGGTTTCCAGCAGACACCTGCCGGTTAGCTGACGTTTGTGTTTTCAAGTAGTACAGTGATGACGTTTAAAGAAGTGCAAACTTAATCAATAAGATTATACGAGAAGAATATTTCTGTGCTCGTATAGACGTAATGAGCTTTTACCTCTAATGCAATATAAGAAAAATGTATGCAAAAAGAATCAACATTAACCGACTCCAATATATGATTTGCCCAAACTATCTAAAGTCACTTGACCTTTAGCCAATCTATAAAGGTTTGGAAATAGGAAAGAAACGAGAATCATCATAATCACAACCTGAATTAACTAATGCATCTGCATTACAATTTATTTCATGGTAGTAATGAAGATCCAAAGAGATTTTAATAACCAATAAAAAAATTATCTCAAAAAGATACAAATGCAAGTGTGAAGAAAGGAAAGATAAACCAAACACCTTAGTTTCTGTGGGGACATATTTTTTGAATGACGACACGTGGCCGAGGTGTCACCGAAATGCCAATCGGGGTGCCACGTGTCCTGGTCATGATGCTAAGATGATCTTGGCTAGGTCGAGGTTATCTGCGAAGATACCGGAATCCGGGATAAGCGGATAAGAGACAAGAGTCCTAGAATGGGAGAAGACTTCAGTTTGGGTAAAGATAAGACTCTTAGAGAGTTTATCCTAATCCTACTAGGAGTCCAAGATTAGCAGTAATCCTAAGTCCATTAGAGCTAGGCTTCTATTGGGACTAGGATTGTGTTGGCTATAAAAGGGAGGCACCCCCATGGGTCTAAGATATGTCTTTTATGCTTTGTCTAGTGAGTTAAACACTATCGGTTATCTTTGAGAGATATTTTTACTGATTTGATCGTCAGAGTGCCCCCGGGTGGACGAACCACCGCGGGATTCTTACCTTTCTATGGCAGGTCATTCGAGCTTAATCTATTCTGCCAGTGTTCTCCAGCTGAGTGCTTGATTGGCGGTGTGGTCAGAAATTGACACACAATTTGGCACCATTTGTGGGAAAGAAAGGAGAATAGATGGCCAGCAACAGCAGAAAGAGAAGGTTGAAAACGACATCCCTACTAGAAGTGGGAAACATGTAGACCTTGACGTCGAAGAAGACAACTGCAACGAAAAGACTGGTGATAAGAATCACAGAGAAAAGGACGTCAGCCAGAAGGGTGACGTGTCAAAGAAATCGGACCGAGGCGGGTACTATAACGAAAACGACCTCCAGATATGGAAAGATAAATGCCTACGGAGGGACAGCGAGATGAAATGAATGGCAGAAAAATTGGCGGACCTGCACATAGTCGTAAATTTCATGATGCAAAACAACGTCATGCAGCCACTGTTCCCGTTACAAGATACGCCGATTCCAGCGGCCAAGAAAGATGCCCAGAAAGGAGAGCAAAAAATTGTTCCTACAGTCCCTCAGCACGACAGGACTAAAGGACATTCTCACCTGCCTTTATGGGAGGTCGGGCGTGGAGAATCAACGAGAAAAGAATCCCAGAAGACACGTCGAACCCAAGAAGACTGCAACAGAGAACATCGGGATGTTCAGGGGGAAGGAGCTCTGTTTCGACACGACCAATGGAGGAAAGTCCAAAAGGACTCACAATGACACTGGAAATAGTGCACCAAAGAGGTTAAAATCCAGATATAGCCGAGCTCCTAGACGAACCAAGGAGGATCTGAGGGATGACCTTCACAGGAAGTGACAAGATGTCAAGGTGACCTCTCCAGTCAAGCCGAGGTCATGTTTAACACTTGTTGAAATTTTAAGAAAATTTTACAAGTTGAAGTTAAACCGAGACTATATTTAATACTTGTTGAAATTTTAAAAATTTACAAGTTGAAGTTAAACCGATGACTTGTTTAACACTTGTTGAAATTTTAAAAATTTACAAGTTGAAGTTAAACCGATGTCATGTTTAACACTTGTTGAAATTTTAAAAATTTACAAGTTGAAGTTAAACCGAGGATGTGTTTAACACTTGTTGAAATTTATGAAAAATTTACAAGTTGAAATTAAACCGGGTTCATGATTAAAGGAATGAATGATATAGGTTCCATCACCTCAGGATGCTGAGGTAATAGAACCTAGGTGGCAGTTGTGGGGACATACTTTTTGAATGACGACACGTGGCCGAGATGTCACCGAAATGCCAATCGGGGTGCCACGTGTCCTGATCATGATGTTGAGATGATCTCGGCTAGACTGAGGTTATCCGCAAAGATACCGGAATCTGGGATAAGCGGATAAGGGATAAGAGTCCTAGAATAGGAGAAGACTTCTGTTTGGGTAAAGATAAGACTCTTAGAGAGTTTATCCTAATCCTACTGGGAGTCCATGATTAGCAGTAATCCTAAGTCCATTAAAGCTAGGCTTCTATTGGGACTAGGATTGTGTTGGCTATAAAAGGGAGGTACCCCCATGGGTCTAAGGTATGTCTTTTATGCTTTGTCTAGTGAGTTAAACACTATTGGTTATCTTTGAGAGATATTTTTACTGATTTGATCGTCAGAGTGCCCCCGGGTGGACGAACCACCGCGGGATTCTTATATTTCTATGACAGGTCGTTCGGGTTTAATCTATTCTGACAGTATTCTTCAGCTGAGTGCTTGATTGGCAGTGTGGCCGGAAATTGACACACACAGTTTCTACACCAATTTCCTTTTCCACTTGTTTATGATTGCCATCACCTAAATAGTGGTGAAAAATGTTAGGGCATGAAAGTTTATTTTAAAGTTATTCTGAAAATGAGGTGAGTAAATTTAAAATTGATAAAATGTGAGTCATACTATAATTTTGGTTCAAATAGATATATTATTTTAAATAATTTTCTAGGTAATTTTTTTTTGAGAAAATTCTGAGTCGATTGTAAGGCCAAAACAAAATTATAAAATCATGAAAACACCCACTAGACTGTAATAATTCCATTTTGAAAAATACTTGGCAATTCAAATTTGAGTTTGTCTTTTGGTCGATCATTCAGACGATCGGTGCAACACTTGTTTATCAGGATTGTTACCTTTGTCGATCACGGCTATTATCATGTTGCCGGTCGACTACCAGAACGACCAGTCAAATAACCGACAAGCCAAAACTCGAGCTATTTGATCAAATTCAAATTCGATTTATGAAGCATTGTTGTTCCATTTTTATTTATGTATGTAGTATTGTTTGTTGAGAAATGCAGTATCCTTGAGGAGTAATAACAGAGGATAGGTGCCCGCCATTTAAGGCTTTCATATTTAACCGCTGTGTAAATATTTTTGAGTGTTTGGGAACCGAGAAAAAAAAAAGGCTTACACACTATACAACACTACGCTGCCCCCCCTCTCTTAACTGTGAAAACAACAGCTGAATGAGCCAAAGCTTAATCACCTCCATGCACACGTCCTTTTCTCACTCCTCTCCCCCACCTCTGCCGCCTCTGCCCTCTCTCTCTCTCCCTCTCATCCATCGGGAATACCAACCATACATTTTCTTCCCCCTTTCTCTCTCCTAATGCCCCTACATGAACAACCTGTACATGTATGACCTACACACAATCTAACAAGAAAGAAATAGAGAGTGATCAAGAAAGCACCTTCTGGGTCTTTAAATCTAGTGATAATGTAATATATATATATAACTCTCTCTCTCTCTCTCTCTCCTTTTATAGTGTTGATAATTCAAGATTCGAGAGATCAGATCCAAGGTGGTTAATCTGTCCATCAAAACCCACAAAATCCATCGTTCAGTCAATCGTTCAATCAATCAATCAAATCAAACAGAATCAACAATTCACAAAGGAATCATCAAAAAGTAGAACAAAAGAAAAAAGATGTCCTCCTCATCATCTGCTTTTTCACCGGACCACCACCACCACCTCTCTCCTCCCTCCTCCGAGCAGCTCTGTTATGTCCATTGCAACTTTTGTGACACCGTCCTCGCGGTATCGCTTTCTCCTCCTGTCTTTTGTCTCCTTGACTCTTCCCTTTAGTGCTTCTTCTCTCTCTCAACCCTAGTTTTTCATAAATAACGGTACAATATCAGTGAATAACAGTATTAGAAGTCTAAGATATTGATTTGTATTGGCTGATATTTAAAACATTGCCTAGCTCTATAACTAATCTTCTTTCATTTCAGTATTAGAAGTCTAAGATATTGATTTGTATTGGCTGATATTTAAAACATTGCCTAGCTCTATAACTAATCTTCTTTCATTTGGTGAATTTATTATTAATTTTTTTTTTGGTTTGGGACACTGCTTGCTTGTTGTTGTAGGTGAGCGTTCCTTGCTCAAGTTTGTTCAAGACCGTGACGGTTCGATGTGGTCACTGCACCAACCTCTTGTCTGTAAATATGCGTGGTCCGCTTCTTCCTGCAGCTAGACTCTTTCTTTTCTCCTCAGAATCTTTTGGTACATACATAATCAAAAAAAATTAGGGCTTGTTTAGTTGCCTTTTCATTTTCTGTTTTTATTTTTCAAAAAATGCAAAAGTAGGGTTTTTATATACTAAAGAAAATTATATCTTTCAGGCCCTAATTTTATAACAACTACTACTACATGATTTTATTTGTATATTTTTTAGGGTATTGTCTGATTTCTTTTTTCTCCTTGGCTATGTATATATTATGTGTGTGTGTGTGTTAGGAGGAGATCCGAAGCTCGTCGTCAAACTTGTTGATCAATCAGCAAAATGCGAGTGAATCAGTCACACCCATTCGAGGACTCGAGGAGCTTCCTAAGCCCCCAGCTGCTAACAGACGTGAGATTATTAACATTGATCTTTTGGGTCTAATTTTATTTTCATTTTTTAGTCATATGGTGTCTCTGAGAACCTTTTACTGGTATAAATCAGCCATTCTAACAGTTATCAAATAAGGTATTTTTCACTTTCAACTATTTTCTTTTAAGGAAGTGAAATCATTTGGAAGAGATCTTCAACTTTACCCTTTTCAATACACAGTGGTGTCTTTTACAAATTAAGAATGTTTCTTTGGAAGAACATAGATTTGCACTTTGTAAAGTTTACTTTCAAACAGTGTATATGTTTTATTGCTATGCAGTACGCTTCAAGAAGGAAGAGTCTTTATTGCTTTTTTTCTCTTGACTTCTCTTCTTCTTCATGTTGTTCCATATATATATGTGTGTGTGTGTGTTTGGATCACGAGAAAGCCAACTTTAGCTCTGCAACTATATCTCAACAGTTTATTTATTTATTTATTGGTACAATGGATATTCCACACACCTACTCTGTTCACTTAGGCACTTCATGTTAAACACATTTTTAAGAACCATCTAAAACACCAAAAAATTGTTTTCTTGGAATACTTTAATTTCAAAACTATTATATCCCCCCGGAAAAATAATTAGAAAAGTGTTGAGAATTTCAATGTCCATGCAAATGGAAATTTAAACTTGGTTATATTCAGAATAAATCTTATTCACATTTTTCAATTTTTTTGATTTTCTAACAAGAAAAATTTCCTGAGTATGTTGCATTTTTCTTTTGATTTTTGTTCTTTTTGGTCACTTTTATTCAAATTAGTTCCATTGATTTCACTTATTTCTCAAAAAAGGAAGAGAAAAAAGAAGAGAGAAAAAGAGAAAGAGAAAAAAAAAAAAAAAAAAAAAAAAAAAAAAAAAAAAAAAAAAAAAAAAAAAGAAAGAAAAAGAAAAAAGAAGAAGAAGAAGAAGAAGAAAAGCTTTGAAGAAGTGGTTTTGTTGTGGGGTTGTAAAGTGGAACATGGACATTTCTCCCCCCGGAAATTAAGAAACCATAGAATCTTTGGAGTTAAATAATAGAGAGATAGATGAATGCAGAAATATAATGATGAAGTGATGATGGGGAGAGAGAGAGAACAAATTCAGAGCTCTAAAAAAGTCAGAGAAGTGGTTTTAATGTGTCTGTGTTTGTCTGTTTGTATTCAGCTCCGGAGAAGAGACAGAGAGTCCCATCTGCTTACAACCGCTTCATCAAGTAAGTAATTATTAAAACAAACTTTATAGATTACAATTTACATGTATTTTTTTGGAAAGTTTGTAAAAAATTAATTTTTTAACTTATTAGTGATTTTTTTGACAAAAAATTAGGTTATTTTGAATAAAAAAGTAGATTTTTTTAACTAAAAAAGTTAAAAAATAAAAAAAATTGACTTTTTTGGTGTGTTCCCAAAAGATCCCACATATACACTATATACTTGTATAAAAGTGAGATATTTCATATATATATTTTTAGAGAAATATTAGCAGGCTATTTTAGCTTTTGACAAAAAATTAGGTTATTTTGAATAAAAAAGTAGACTTTTTTAACTAAAAAAGTTAAAAAATCAAAAAAATTGACTTTTTTGGTGTGTTCCCAAAAGATCCCACATATACACTATATATATACTTGTATAAAAGTGAGATATGTCATATATATATTTTTAGAGAAATATTAGTAGGCTATTTTAGTTTTTATGTTTGGAAAGATGGGATTGATTTTTATTTGAGTTGTATTGAAAAATGTGTTAAAATGATATTTAAAGTTAAAATGATAAATTTACCCCTAACATCACATTTTTCAAAAGTAATGTAAAGGGGCAAAATCATCATTTACCAAGGGATGGGACAACTTGTTAATTTGACAGTGTAGGCTGTGCCTACACTGTCCCACGGTTGCAGTTATTTTTTATTTTTTTTATTTTTTTTATAAAGTGTTAATTTAGGAGTTTTTTGGCTTTTTTTTTTTAGTTTTAGGCTATTGTAGCCCCAAACTCATCTTCCCAAACACCCCATGTATCGACAACTAAAAATTGAAATTTTTTTTTTTTGAATGTATTGTATAAATTTATATTTAGGTTTCGTTTGGCATATAATACTTTTAACCTAAAAGTTAAAAAGTTATTAAAAAAATCAAAAATCTTATAACCCATATCAAAAAGTTAAAGATTTCATTTACTCTCTACTTTTTGTACATCTTTTCATAAAAAATCAAAAAGTCATTCCAAATATACTAACATGGACATTTCTCCCCCCGGAAATTAAGAAACCATAGAATCTTTGGAGTTAAATAATAGAGAGATAGATGAATGCAGAAATATAATGATGAAGTGATGATGGGGAGAGAGAGAGAACAAATTCAGAGCTCTAAAAAAGTCAGAGAAGTGGTTTTAATGTGTCTGTGTTTGTCTGTTTGTATTCAGCTCCGGAGAAGAGACAGAGAGTCCCATCTGCTTACAACCGCTTCATCAAGTAAGTAATTATTAAAACAAACTTTATAAATTACAATTTACATGTGGTGTTTTGGAAAGTTTGTAAAAAATTAATTTTTTAACTTATTAGTGATTTTTTTGACAAAAAATTAGGTTATTTTGAATAAAAAAATAGACTTTTTTAACTAAAAAAGTTAAAAAATCAAAAAAATTAACTTTTTTGATGTGTTCCCAAAAGATCCCACATATACACTATATACTTGTATAAAAGTGAGATATTTCATATATATATTTTTAGAGAAATATTAGTAGGCTATTTTAGTTTTTGACAAAAAAATTAGGTTATTTTGAATAAAAAAGTAGACTTTTTTAACTAAAAAAGTTAAAAAATCAAAAAAATTGACTTTTTTGGTATGTTCCCAAAAGATCCCACATATACACTATATACTTGTATAAAAGTGAGATATTTCATATATATATTTTTAGAGAAATATTAGTAGGCTATTTTAGTTTTTGTGTTTGGAAAGATGGAATTGATTTTTATTTGAGTTGTATTGAAAAATGTGTTAAAATGATATTTAAAGTTAAAATGATAAATTTACCCCTAACATCACATTTTTCAAAAGTAATGTAAATGGGCAAAATCATCATTTACCAAGGGATGGGACAACTTGTTAATTTGACAGTGTAGGCTGTGCCTACACTGTCCCACTGTTGCAGCTATTTTTTATTTTTTTTATTTTTTTTATAAAGTGTTAATTTAGGAGCTTTTTGGCTTTGTTTTTTTAGTTTTAGGCTATTTTAGCCCCAAACTCATCTTCCCAAACACCCCATGTATCGACAACGAAAAATTTAAAAAAAAAAATTGAATGTATTGTATAAATTTATATTTAGGTTTCGTTTGGCATATAATACTTTTAACCTAAAAGTTAAAAATTTATTAAAAAAATCAAAAATCTTATAACCCATATCAAAAAGTTAAAGATTTCATTTACTCTCTACTTTTTGTACATCTTTTCGTAAAAAATCAAAAAGTCATTCCAAATATACTAATTTTTTTACCTCATATTTTAGTCAAAAAGTCAAAAAATTACTAAAATAACTTACTCCCAAACGAGGCCTTAGTGTGGTGTGGATCATAGACACACAAAAATAACAAATAAAAAAAATATGATTTACATATATTTTTTTTTATATAAATCTATATCCGATTCATTGGATCGACTAATTTGAAACTTCAATCTCATTCTCCACTAGTGGAAACCTAATTAAAGTCAAGGCAAAACTTCAGAGCTCAAGCCTTAACCACCAAACTAACATATGAGTTTGATTTACACAATTTCTATTCTTAATGAATACTTTGTAGATAAAATTATAAGTACGTTTAATCATGTTTGGATTATAGATTTGGATGGATATTTGTAAAGGAATAATTGAACAAATCTAGCTTCTACATTATACATTTTTTCCTACTATTCCTTTTCTTTTATAAATTTCTCAACAAATTCAAAATTCAAATAAAGTCTTATTATTATCAATAATAATAGAATGAAAATAATGCAGAGGAAAAAAAAATTAAAAAGAAGAAAAGAAATTATATTTATTATGTATATATTATATGGAGAATTTTAAAAAAGTGATGTGTATAATATGCATAAAATTATGAAATAAAAACTTATACTGTTATCATTTTAAAATTATTTTTTCTATCATCCATTTTTTTGAAATTTCCTTATATTATATATGAGTATTGCTATTTAAGACTAAATTGAAATTCCCTTCAATTTTCAAATCTGATGATGTGGCAATCAATTAGAATATTAAAAGTAACATTCTGTCTCATATCATTTCTAATCATCAATCAATCATATCACTTACATATCATTAAATCTATAAAACGAGTCTAAAAAATGAATTTATATATCATTTGTCATTATATATATATGATGCATATGTATATGTATAGGTAAGAATGATATTGACACTTGGGTATGAATCATAATGATGAAACTACTGCAGGGACGAGATCCAACGCATCAAAGCTGGAAACCCCGAAATAAGTCACAGGGAGGCTTTCAGCGCCGCTGCAAAGAATGTAAGACCCAAACCAATAAATCTATCAAGGAGATTTAGAACAAAATTAATAAATAAATAAGAACAAATCTATCTAATTCTTCTTGCCCTCTTAGGGTTTCTTTTGCTTTGGGAAAATGCTACTATATAAAGAAAATCCCAACAAAATGATGTGGTATATTATTTTTACAATTATGTAACACAGTCTGAATTTAACGATTATTGTATTCGCAAAAATATTTAAAATGCTGCTTAAATTTTCATATTTATTTTTTGTGTAACACCATATCAAATTTAAATTTACACTATAAATTCCAAACTTTTTTTTTCTAAATACATATTTTTTTATTTTTTAATACATGGAAGTAAATAAGCCACTTTATTCTATCTATACATATATAAGTAAGTCTATGGTACTGGAAAAAATTTCAAAAATTTATCCAGAATGAAAAATCAAGAGATTTCAAATTATGGATATTTTTTGAATTTTTTTTTCTAGAAGTAGTATTGCTGTATATATATATAATTTATTTGTATAGCACTGTTTTTGAAAAAAAAAATTATCATTTTTGTTTTACTTAACTTTTTTTCCCTCTCAACCAAGAAAAATCTAGGGTTTAGTATTTTTTTTCCTTAAAAAGATTATTTATTATTTTATTAATTGTGTTGTTCATTGATTTCTGTGCGAATCTGTTTTTATTGCTTCCAGTGGGCCCACTTCCCACACATTCATTTCGGACTTTTGCCTGATCAACCCGTGAAGAAGGCTAATATGCGCCAGCAGGTACAAAAAAACCCTAGCAACTGCCCTCCTATAAACCCTAGGACAAAGAGTAGCATATACTTCTCCAGTGAATTTTTAATCTTTTAAAAACTCTTTTTTGTGATTTGGAAATGTGTAGGATGGAGAGGACGTCTTGATGAAAGATGGGTTTCTTGCTCCTGCCAATATGGGTGTGTCTCCTTACTAAGAAGTGAAGCGTTTAGGGTTTCTTATTAAATCTTTCTGTCTATCTTTAGGGTTCATCTTGTTCTTGGCTATCTTTCGTTCTTTCTTTCTTTGTGACTTTTTAAAAACATTTTGTAATTTGCTTGGCTTTCTTAATGGTGGGAGGAGAGTATTTTCAAGAGTAGAGTCCTTGTGGAAGTCTAACAAGTGGTTTCCTTAAAAACCCATATGCAAATGAATTCTCTCTAGCTAGTGTTAAGCATGTTGATGTTCTGAAAACTTTTCTTCCCCATCTTTGGATGTTGTTTAATGATGATTCGTGGTATCTAATTGTCAAGTTTTTTGGTTTTATGTCAGTGCTTCTTCTCTTTGTCATATATCATTTCTCCAAAATATTAGTTAAGGTGTGTTCTATTGACTGTATGTGCATATGTTTCTTGTGGCGGCGGTGGTTGCAATGGCAATGATAGTGGAGGTGGTGGCGGTGATAGTAGTGTGATGACATTCCAATTTGTTCATATTGTTGGTGCTTGCATTTGATTTTGCGTGCCATTTTTTGCCAATATAATTGGGATGTAAGATTTTGCTACGATGCAATTTACATTTATCTTTTATTTAGTTTTTTTTTTTTTTTTGATCAATAAAGAAAAATTTCATTAACAGTATGAAATTAAAGGTACAGGTAGATGACATGTATCGAGAGAGATTCAGAAAGTACAAATTACCCCTACTACTGCTACTCGCATCCATACAACCAACCTCTTGGCATCACGATTTTTTTTTTTTAAAACAAAAAAGTTAAGAAGAACTTAACTAGAAAATAAAATACATGAATCTCCACAAATTCAACCCACACAACCCAAAACCAAAAACTAGCACCAAAACACCCAAGCTGCACTCGCATTCCTTTTTTTAAAGAAAAATTTCATTAACAGTATGAAATTAAAGGTACAGAAAGATGACATGTATCGAGAGAGATTCAGAAAGTACAAATTACCCCTACTACTGCTACTCGCATCCATACAACCAACCCCTTGGCATCACGATTTTTTTTTTAAAAACAAAAAAGTTAAGAAGAACTTAACTAGAAAATAAAATACATGAATCTCCACAAATTCAACCCACACAACCCAAAACCAAAAACTAGCACCAAAACACCCAAGCTGCACTCGCATTCCTTTTTTCAACAAATTAAAATTTTCTTTTTCAACACCCAAACTGCTGCACTCCTCTTTTCAACAAACCACACTCTACTATTCAATCTAAATATTTTATTCACCTATGCAGGCATTGTAGCACCCATAAGCACACTCCTCAACTTCCAAGGCACAGCCCACTACTCCCAAGGCACAACTCTGTTGTGTCTCCCACGTCCGTCCCCTCCGTCGAACTTCACCCACGCTTGACCCCTCTGCCGAACTTCACCCACTGTTGGCTCACCCAAGGCGGAAACACATCCTCCGCCAGACTTCAATGTTGGTCCTCCTTTCATTGGCCCTTCTCATGAAAGCTATTGAAGTAAAATCCATCATAACCTTGTGCTGGTAGTTATGCCTGTAATAACTCAGTCCGAAACAACCATGGCCGAAGCTACCTTGGCCAAAGCCAAACACACCTATGGAAACAAGACCCACTGCCACAGCTGAACAAAACCTACTGACACCGCCACTTCTATAGTCGAAACGGCTTCTTTTTCAACCCAAACACCGAAAACACACCCACTGCTGAAGCTAATCCACCGCCCCTATATTGACGGCCCAACATCGATCTCCTCTTAATCAAAACAACCGCTGAGACACCATCCCACATCTGGACGGAGTTCACCCCTCAAACTCCCATACGCATAGGAGCGCACAAATGAAATCCTACACAAATTTGGATCAACTTCACTATGCTTTGTTGTTCTCTGATCTCAAAAATAAAATTTTCTTTATTTTGCAAATAAAAAATTGTGTGGTGACGTTAGTACAGTTTTAATTCAAAAAATATCTTCCACATTTTAAGGGTAAAAAATATTTTATATATAAATAAGTTTATTTTTCATTAGCCATGGAAAATATTTTATTTTCGTTTTGTCGTATCAAATTTTAAAAAATATTTTTTACCAAAATAACTAAACTGTAGTTAACTATGTTCTTGTGTTTATCAACTTGAAATATGTACTCTGTAGCCTATAAATCTTTGTCCTAATTACATGTCCTTTGTAAATTATACTTCATATTTGTTCATCAATAATAACTACTTTGTAAAGGAAGAGCTAGGATCCACTCGTTTGATGAGATTTCCAAAAAATTGCAAGTTAATCTCATCCACTCGTCTGATGAGATTCCCAAAACAGAAAAGGAAAGATCATCGTTTGATGAGATTTCCAAAAAATTGCAAGTTAATCTCATCCACTCGTCTGATGAGATTCCCAAAACAGAAAAGGAAAGATCAAGGTTTGGGTGAAGAAATATGATCACGAAAAGATAAAGCCGGATAATAAATAAGAAAATATATATATATATATATATATATTTATCGTAGAGTGCATAGAATGTCAGGTATTGTATTTGATGCCCTTGCTAGGCATTGCTTCAAACATAATCTATCATATCTTGTATGTTTTCATCAATAAAGATTTTCTTTGCCGATCAAAAAAAAAAAGAAACCTCTATTGCATATGTGCTCCTGCTAATGCTCATTTTGGTTTATTGATTTGGTGATGGAAAAAAGAAAAAAATTGTAGAGAAAATATGAAACAATAATTTCTAAAAAAAAGTTCAATATGAAAAAAATTTAATAAAAATAAACGAAAACCTATCAAAAAATAATTTCTAAAAAAAATTAAACCAAACATAACTATTATTTAAGTTCTTCTCAAAGTTTGGTATTGTTAAGGACGCCTTCATCCCTTCCATAAGAAGATTAGTGTCACACTCTAGATTTGGGTTTGTGATGTTCGACTATCATGTAGCAGCTGATATAGCCATTCAAAAAGCCAATGGCCTTCTGGTGGATAACAAAGTCCTCGAAGTCAAAATTGCAACTCTTGATAGATGAAACAGAGAGGAGCCTCGAAGTCCTCCATCCATCAGGAAATCTCAATTCATCAGGAGATCTTTCGAAATTAACAGATCCAGAGGTCATGTTTCATTTGCTGGTCAAAGATCCTTTGTTGATGTTTTGCAAGGGGTGAAAACAAACACCTCCATAAAATTTACTGAGGAGGGCAATTGTTGGCTTTATGGAAGTGTCATAATCTGTTTTAATACAGAATACTCCATTCTCAATGTTAGTGAAACCCTGAAGGAGAAAGGACTGGAGCACATTTTGGTCAGAAAAGGGGGTGGCCGAGATGGAATCTTAACTTTTAATTCTCAAGATGAGTTAAAATCAAACATTGGCAATCTTAAAGATTGGTTTAAGGATTTGAGTCAATTTGTGGTAGAGTGGAAGTCTGGGATTCATTTGGTCTAAGAAAGATGTGTGTGGTTGAAATGCTTTGGGATACCGTTGCATGTTTGGAACAGAAACACTCTCAACAAGACTGGTAGCCTTTAGGGCTTTGTACTCAATACTGAGGGGGATAAATGACAACCAAAATCTTTCTTTCATGCTAGAATCAGAGTGGCCACTTCAACTATGGAGGCTATTACTAAACCATTAACCATAGAATGCAAGGGCAAAGCTCATACTATTTTTGTACGTGAAGACCACCTACCAAATCTCAGTAGTATGAAACATAATGGCATGTATGAGTCCAGTCTTCTTGAAACCTGTTGCAGTGTAAAGGAAGCAAACTTTCCAGCGATTGAAGGTAGGAAAATGGGAGAAGATGATGAGGTGGCAGAGGCTAGTGCCATGTTTGGTGCTGAGATTGCTTGTACACATGAGAAAACTCAGGGAAAACATCCTACGGACACAGTAGTTGAGGAGACACCCTACGATGGAGGCGATATCAGAGGAGGAGCATGTATTGAGAAGCCTTTGATGGATTTGATGGACAAGTCTGTCCACTCCTCAAAAAGTAATTATGATAGGCAAAAGTGTGCTGAACAAGTCTTCGCACCTGGATTCATACGTTGCTTTAATGAATCTAGTGCTGGAGGTGGACCTGGCATCAACTTGGAAGTAGATTTGGCCCACTTTGCAAAGCAGCATGTAATTACTAGATCTCCTTTCAGGCCCATTCAGCCTAATGTTGTAAGCCCAGAGGGCACAGGCATCGTACCTATATCACATACTGAGTTACACTATTCTGGGCCTTTATCTAACATTGGCCCGTATAGGAAGAGTAATCTATCTCATCCTCAGACAATCCAAGATTCAATTTTTGCCTCCACTACAAACCAGTAGCGCAATGAGAGGAAAAAAGGGAAGATGAAGACCCAGATCGAGGGGTTCACTAGCTTTGCTAGGATCCATGTGTACACAAATAATACAGCTAAGAAGCACTACGCTAAATCTGTTATCTCCAGGCCTACTGCTAAAGCTTTAGCACAGCCAAATTCATCTATAGGTGACTCATCTCTAAGGAATCAGATACTTTCCGAAGCTACAGCCACTATTCAATTGGGGAAATCACTTGGCATCGATTATCATGGGAAAGAAGACATTGTGCTCAACAAAATTATTGACTTAGAATTTAAAGGCAAGGAGAGAATTGACAAGGAGGGGAAGGCCCAGTAGTAAAGGGCTGAAAAAGGGTCTTTTGAGTGCATCAATTGGTTTCTTGTGAAATTACTATCTTGGAATATCAGGGATATGGGTAAGGCGGAGAAGCAGGCAGAATCAAGAGGCTCCTAAAGGATAGAAATATAGATATTGTCTTTTTTCAAGAAACAAAAAGGGCAGTTATATCTGATGTTGATGCTAGAAGGCTATGGAGAAGTAAAAACATGGAATTTATGTCTGTTGATCCTGAAGGAACAGCCAGAGGGCTTTTATGCATTTGGGATCCTGCTGTCTTCACACCCTCTGGCTGTTGCTGTCATAGGAGATATATCTTACTCTTGGGTTCTTTATTCAATTCCTTTAATTATGTTCTGCTCAACATTCATGCACCTAATGATATTGGTTCCAGATCTTCTTTTTGGGTTAATATCTTAAAACTTAAAACCTCTTTCCTAATCCGTGGTGCATGGGTGGAGACTTCAATGAAATTAGTCACATTAGTGAAAGAGTTGGTTGCTCTAGAAGGGACAGGGGAATGAAACACCTTAATGATTTCATTGGTAATAGTGAGCTTCATGATCTACCACTTCATGAAAGGAAATACACTTGGTGTAATGCCCAAGAATCAGAGAAATTGAGCAGAATTGATAGGGTCTTGCTAAGCCCTGAATGGCTGATCAATTTCTCAATGAAATTGTGG